CGGGCGACCGACCAAAAAAAAAAAAACTCCTTGCAGCCGAGGCGCGGCACGACCTAAGAGGGGGAAAAAAAAAAAACACAACCGCCTTTCCGAACTCCGCCTTGACACCACTGCCGGCCTTGAGTTACGAACGCCTTTTCGAACTCAGGCCCTGACACAGACGCCGAAGGTTGTTTTTTGTGCCCATTACAAACTCCCATGTGACATAAGCGTACTTCCCCCAGAAAAAAAAAAAGGCAATATAGAAAGGCGCAGAGAATCAGAGATTCCAGTACCAGCAGGATAACCTCAGATTCGAGGCTATCGAATGTTGACGGTCCGCATTAGTCACACACACACACACACACACACACAGAGAGAGAGAGAGAGATCCGCAGATACACACACACACACACACACACACACACACGCACACACACAGATCGAGAGAGAGAGAGAGAGAGAGAGAGAGAGGCGCAGACAGAGATTGAGATAGAGAGGTGTACAGAGAGAGAGAGAGAGAGGAGAGAGAGAGAGAGAGAGAGACAAGGATAACAAGCAGTCACTTACCACGATGGCGGAGATCTTGACATCTGGACGGCTGACGATCTTCGACTGAACGAAAGCCGCCGTTTCGTTGTTGGCATTAGCAGCGAAGCGCGCGACTTGGTCATTCGACGTGGAGATGACAACATCGATTCCCGTTCCCGCAATTGCGGTGAAGAACGCGCCGACCTCTGCAAGAGTGTCGTTGTGGTCACCGAACAGTTTGACGGAAGTCGCTTTGATCCTCTGCAAGATGGCCACCGTCTGGGTCGCATCCAGTTGCTGCGTGCTTAGGCCGAATCCGATGTTGACGCCAACAGATTTGCTCGATCCCGTCGCTGGAGGAGATTGGGATCGGGATGCGGAGGGGGGGGGGGTCTGAGGAGTCCATTGTGATGTCGGGACCAATATAGGCGAGGAATTGGAGGCTTCGGCGGCGACCGCAGGAGACGATACGCTGCTGACTTCCCCAGATACGGAGGGCAACGGTTCGATTCCAGCTTGGGTAGACGCCAGAGCGGGAGAAGATCCCGACAGAGGATTCGTCGGCCAGCTGTCGGGACCGCTGGCCACTACTTCAACCGCTACTGGGTCTTCAGAAGCTGGTGATGAAGGAGGCATGTCTCCCCCAAGAGCGGCACGAGAGGGAGGAGGCGGTTTGGTAGTTGTTGGTGCTGAAGAAGAGGGAGGAGTATAGGGAGTTGTTGTTGCCGAAGAAGAGGGTGGAGGATTGGGAGTTGGATATGGCGGAGATGAAGGGACAGGATTGGATCCTGGGGCAGAGGGAGCTGGATGAGAGGGAGGAGAGAAAGAAGAAGATGACGAGACAGCTCTCGCTGCTGTAGAGGATGGAGAAGAAGGAGAAGAGGGAGTCGATGATGACGGCGATGACGGGGAGTGTTGTGATAAGCTTGATGGTGAAGATGAAGATGGAGGTGAAAGCGACGGAGCGGGGGAGGACTGGCTGGGCTCGACGGGGAGAGATGGAGAAGGAGAAGGAGAGAGCCCGACATCTTCAGGAGGCGGGGCAAGCAGCCGTTGATCTGGCAATCGAGGGTAGCCGTTGGCTGGTTGTGCTGATGCATCTGATGACGATGATGATGATGATGAGGAGGATGACGATGATGATGATGAGGATGACGATGATAATCTTCTTGACGAGCGTAAGGTTGCCAATGGCATTGAGTTCAGGGTAGTCGTTCGAGTAGTACACTGGCAGGTTCTAGTACTACTAGTTGTAGTAGTAGTAGTTCTAGTAGTACACTGGCAGGTGCTAGTACTACTAGGAGTTGAAGTAGTCGTAGTACTAGTAGTAGTAATACTAGTGGTACTAATAGGAGAAGGAGGAGGAGGAGGAGGAGGAGGAGGAGGAGTGGTGGTGCTAGGTTCAGCAGATGACGGATAGGATGAAGATGGGTAGGCGGCAGCAGGATGGTCTTGGGCGCATGCAAAAGAGACAACCTGCTCGGCCTCCGCTCTCCTTGTCCACCTGCTTGATATGTCTTCCCATCCACCATAACTCGAGAGGAGAAGGAAAAGAACCCACAGTGGCCATTGCAAGACATGGCGATACCACGCATCAAGATGGAGAACAGGATGACTTTTCATCTTCTTCTTCTCCCTCTTATAGTCGTTGCTCCCTCTTCCCTAATACTATACTATGCTATATATATACTATACCGTGAAGTATAGTAACCCTCCTTTTCGTCAATCCTGTGGGCTACTAGCAAGCTTTGTGGCGAGTATGGTGATACCACACATCACGGAGATATGAAAAGACCAAGAAACAGTGAAGAACAAACGTAAAGAAGAAGAAGAAGAAGGAGGAGGGGGAGAAGTCAGAGCGGAGAACAGGGATAGGAACATGGCATGAGAGAGCGCTGTGCACAGCAGAACGGTGAAGAGAGGAGAAAGAGGAGGAGAAAGAGGAGGAGAAAGAGGAGGAGAAAGAGGAGGAGGAGGAAGAGGAGGAAGATGAGGAGGAGGACGACGACGACCACCACAAAGAAGCAGACGACGACGACGACGAAGAAGAAGAAGAAGAAGAAGAAAGAAGAAGACGCGGTAGAACAATGGTGGGCGATGAAAACAGAGGGTTGATTGCGTCTGGTATATTGAAAGAGGGCGGGGAAAAAAAAAAAAAGAAGGAAAGAAAGAAAGAAAGAAAGAAAGAGCGAGAGAGAAAACGAAAGAAAGAGATGAGGGCGAAGCAAAGAAAAAAGAAGGAAGGAAGAAGGAAGGAAGGAAGGAAGGAAGGAAGGAAGGAAGGAAGGAGGAAGGAAGAGGAGGAGGAGGACGAGGGGGAGGAAAAGGTGGGGGAGAAGACAATTAAGGGTCAACGCGGAGCACAGTAGCTAAGATTACATTATCTATTGAGACGGGCCTTGGTCTCAATCTTCCTCGCTCGATCTTGTGTCTTCATGAGGGCGCTGCAGACAAAGAAAAATATTTCAAAACACAACGTACGCCAGATACAATCGGTCAAAAAAAAAAAAAAAGGCACAATGCAAACAACGCTTTGTCGCATTTTATCCGCAATCCCGTCTGATTTTGTCTCCAATTTGAATCCAATTTGACTCGAATTCGACTCGAATTTGACTTGAATTCGACTCGAATTCGACTCGAATTCGACTCGAATTTGACTCGGATTTGACTCGAATTCGACTCGAGTTTGACTCGAGTTTGACTCGGAATTGATTGGGATCTCTTTGGGATCTAGTTCGGACTCGACAGGAGACACACAGACGAAAGCCAACAAAGAAAGTTTGACGACTTGCAAACATCGGATCTCAGCGGATCAGGAAAGATTCTAGGACATCTAATCCGATCCCAGCAAGATTCGGATCCCACAAAGCCCTCCGGTCATACTAGAATTTCATTCTCCATCCGTCTGATCTGATCGGATCTCATCGGATCTGATTCCGTCTGATGTCATCGGATCTCAGCGGATCGGATCCCGTCTGATCTGATCTGATCTGATCGAATCGGATCGAATCGGATCGGATATAGTTTGTACAGTAGTGTATACGTTAGTGAGGAAAAGGTGTTACATTCAGCCTGGGAAGACATTAAAAAGAGAACAAGAAAAATAAAAATAAAAAGCAAAATAAAGGGGGAGATGTTCGATAGGTCCGCTTGAACGAGATCCGATCCGATCCGATCCGATTCGATTCGATCCAATCAGCTCCCCACCGATCCTCGCCGATAAGACCTGAACCCCCCCTTCCCCCCCCCCAAAGTAAAAGACCTGATGATCCCATCCCATCTGATCCCATCCTCGCCCATAGGAGGAGGATCGGATGGGATCGGATGGGATCGGATGGGATCGGATGGGATCTGATCCAATAGGTTAGATAGGCCAGCATTAAGAAGATTGGATCAGTCGGATCGGATCGGATCGGATGGATCGGATCTGATCAGATAGGCCAGCTTCAACAAGATCCTATCCGATCAGATCCGATCAGATCCCATCCCATCCCGTCCCATCCCATCCCATCCCATCCCATCCCATCCGATTCGATGCTATCCGATGCGGAATGCGATCCTGTGAGATGGTAGGCGCACAAGATAAGATTCGATGGGATGTGATCCTTGGATATCAGATCAAATCGGATTATGTTGGAATCAGTTGGATTACATGAATTCCGGTCTTATAAGATCTGAGATTAGTCGGACCATGATATAGAACCATCTTCCCGCCAGTGGAAAATCTAGGGTAATAACTGGCCCCTACATAAATGGGGTAACTTCAGTAGAGTCACAAAAACGGAGTTATAAATTATAATTGCAGTATGGGCCAAGATACAGTTTGCAGTTGCAATAATTGTAGTTCGGGCCTGCAATGTATACAACCCAGTTTTCTGGCCAGGTAGGGTGGCCGAAGTGCAATTACTGCAAACGGGATCTTGCCCCATACTAGTAGTGCAATTACAACTCGTTTTTGCGACTCTACTGAAGTTACCCCTACGTAAATACATACAACCTCCTGATGAGGTGGTCGGTGAAACTCCGACGAAACAGTGAGTCACAGCCCCTTGTTGGTTGCCCTCTTCTTCCTCTCTGCCTACGGTGCACCCGTACGTTCTTCTTCAGGTCCTGGATATAGATAGATAGATAGATAGATAGATAGATTGATTGATTAGCCTACTGATGAGGGGGTGAAAGTCCGACGAAACAGTCGGTCACAGCCCCACGTTTGTTGTCCTCTCTCCCTACGGTTCACCGGGCAGTTCTCTGTGACAACATATATATCTATATAAAGATATGTATGTATACATATATCCATATATGCAGACATACATTTGTATGTATGTATATATACAAATCGATAGGTCATTATAGCTGTATTTTGGGGAACTTATAATGACCCGTCATTATGCCTGTATCTGGACAAAAAAATACCCCGTGTACAGCTATAATGACCGGTGCCTTCGGGCGAAGACGCTGGGGTGATCAATGCTGCCCGCCAGCCAAGCATTCCTTTATCTGGCCACATTGTTGGAATAGGGACGCGGAACCTGTTTCCCAGCACGTGCTGCTCCACGGGAGGCAATCCCATAGAAAATTAAGCCCTGAGATATTAATTTAATTATTAAATAAACCAAAAATCCATTTTTCACTATTTTTTTTGTCCAATCAAAGACCAAACGATGCGACTTTCCTTCCAACCAGACATTGACGGGAAAAAGAAAAAAAAAAACTACTAATGGCATCGTGCGTCTGCGCATCTAACCTGAGGAGCTGTAGCATAGAGCAATAAAAAATATTAAAATTTTAAAAGTAAATTAAATTTAATTAAATAATCAAGAATTCATAGCAAAAATATTGCTTCTTTTTTTTTTTTTTTTTACAATGAACAATGTCTTTATAAAAGCCGGGAACCGGGCCCGGCGTCCCTTACAAAATTACGTGGGGCCCTCAGTGGGCGAGGCATCACCGGCCTAACACATAGAGGACACCACTAAATTTAACCCCGCTGTCACCACAAACCCTAAACTCAGAAATACCACCGATAAAGCAAAATCAGCCAATATCTCTCTCTCTCTCTCACACTCTACATATGTATATATATATATCTATATTCCTACCTAAGTGCACACTACACTAGAAATGGAAACCAAACAAAACTAAGGAGAACATCCAAAATAAAAGAAAACCTACCGGGGAACTATTAGCCCTAGCCCTGTGTTGTCTCTCTTCTCTCTCTCTCTCTCTCTCTCTCTCTCTCTCTCTCTCTCTCTCTCTCTCTCAAGCTTGGCAGCAAAAATGTCGTCCGTTCGATGTTTCCTTTGAAAAAAAAAAAGAAAAAAGAAAAAAAAAAATAGAGGTTTCGTTGCAGCTTTATCGGGTTCCCATAGTTTGCCAGCAAAAATAAAAATACCGCGTTTTGCCCAGTTTAAGAGCAAAGGACCCCTCGGCCTCTGGCCTCAGGGACTCACGGACTCAGGGACTCAGCGTTCTGGCCTCAGGCACTGAGCGTTGTTTTTTTTTGGGGAGGGGGCACGGCCGACGCATCTGGGCGTGCCCACGGCCGAGATGCCTCGGCC